GGAGCACAGAACAGCGGCAGGGAGTGAACCTTGGAGGACTGACCTAGTATAGTTTTGGAAGTGGCAAAAGGACGCTAAAGAAGATAGCTCATAGAGATTGGAGGTGAAGTAAGAGAATATAGTGTATAATGTAAGGAAGGATTGAGGCCTTGTAGCAGGATAAGATCAGTAAAGTCAAATGGACACAAAGATGGGGAGAATAATGTGGCCTGGTGATAAGAATCAAAAATATATATGACTCAAGAGGTAACTGCTGTTAGAGCAGTTTTAATGGTGTAAGTCGAGGCCAAAACACAGTGCTGAAATAAAGTATGGGTGATGAAGTGGAAATAGTAAATACATGCCAGTTACTTGGTCATTTGAGTTGGGAAAAGATTAGTGTTTTATTTATAGGACCTGTTGAAACTAAGTGAATGTAGACTCTCAGTATTAATGTGAAATAGACAGGAATACTCATCATTTACTGATGGAAGAATATCAGCCTTTTTGAAAAGTAGCTTTTTAGATACAAAAGAACCTTAAAAGATTTTTGTAAGGCTGGGGATAGAGCACTTGCCTAACATGTGCCAGGCCCTGGGTCCAATCTCTGGCACTGAAAAAAAAAAAAAAATTTTTTTTTTATCCTGCTACCCAGTAGGAGGCTAAAGCAGGAGAATTACTTGAAGTCAGGAATTTGAGACCAGCTTGGGCAACATAGACCCCCTTCCATCTCAAAAAGAAAAAAAAAAAAGATTTATGCAGAAGACTGGTCATCAGAACACTATATATAATAGTGAAAAATGGGAAACAAATCCAGCTCTAGGGCATGATTAAATTCAGGTTATATCTCTGTGTTGGCAGCTATCAGAAGTATTTTTTAATTAATATTTGGGAATTGTATTTGTAGTTTAAGCAAGATATAGTATTATCTGATTATGAAAAATGCACTTCATGTCAGAGCATAGGAAAAGGTCTGGAAAGAAAGACAGTAAGTTGTTATCCCTGGGTGATGTGATTGAGTGCTTTTACTTTTCTTCATACTTTTTTTTTTTCAAATTGTCATAATGAGCAAGTATTGCTTTTATAATCTAAAGTTTTTGGTTTTTTATTTAAGATGGAGTGATGCCATTTGGCAGGAGAAAGGCAGTGGAAAGGAAGGAAGTAGAAGTTGTTATAGTGTGGGACAGTGTCCCTCAGGAGGGCATCACAGATGGCTGGGCTCACTCGCTTGTAATGAAGGCTTCTTCCAAGCCATCAGGAAAAGGATAAGACAGAGTGAGATAGGGACTGTCTTTCTGTCATAAAGCTGGATCAGTTGCTCAGGCCTGGAGAGTTTCAAATAGCCACTGTTGAGAGTGAGCTGGAATGTTGATAGAAGGAGAAAAGATCTCCAAGGAGAAGTTTAAACCTATCTCACTGTTCCTTGACCACCACATACATAGAATTGCAAAGCTTTTTGCATAAGCTTCCCCCCAACTTGAAAACTGGTCTAGTTCCAAAAATTTATTTACAGAATCTTTTTTTTTTTTTAACTGAAAGTTTTTGTCTCACAGAAACAGTGTGAGTGGTGATTAGGGATCCAGGCAGCCCACAAATCTCAGTATGTATCTCACTCATTTTTCTTCTTATTTTTCACATCTTCTTCATTACAATTAGTCTGTTTCCTTATATCTCACACTTGAACTACATTATTGTGACACCACTTAAAAGGAGGCTTAGTCTTCCCACTCCTGCTCCCTTTCTCTATTCTGCCATCACCCAGGCTTGTCCTGCATTCTCTCTCAGGATTTATCCTCCTAAAACACTATCATTATTGTCCTTTATCTGTTCAAAACTGCTCTGTTTGGCAAAGCCTTTTGGGGTGTGGAAGACAAAAGAACTCTTCACTGTGGGGGAACATGGTGGGCCAAAAACCCTGAGCCAGAATGAGTTGGGTCACCACCATCACTTAGCTTCAGAGCCCCAGAAATCAGCTTGACCTCATTACCATTGCGGTGAGGCTTGTGAGCACTTTCGGGCTGACAGGCAGATGGAGAAGTCAGTGTCACATACAGGAGCAGAGCAGATCAGTGTTTGAAGCCAGAAACAATTTGTCCTTTGACAGACTAACTCTGAGATGAGATTTTAGCCGTTTTGGTCTGATGATGAAAGAGATAACAATAGGTTGATCTTTCAGGTTCATTCATAACAAGTTGTGTTGTTAGCCTTTAGAGCAGCCCAGCTTTGCTTCTAATGTGGAAACTAAATCAGTAGTTCTTTTCCATAAACAATGTAATTGCCATAACTTATTCATTCATCTTCTAGATATACTGAGCAGTTATAAAATATGACATACACTTTCATCATAATTACAAAATACAGTGTTGATTATTGTATGTGTAGGGACTTGGATATCCTGGGATAAGCATACATCTAGCCTTTTCCTTCTTAGGCCTAAAATTAACTCTGATTCACAAAACAAACCTTCCAGAGTTTCTTCATCAGACTTTGCTTTTTCTTGTCATAGCAAATATACTAGCAGTATCCAATTTCAATTTTGACAGGATTAAACAGGCATTTGGGGCTCACATGAGAACCATTTCTACATTTCTGTGAAGCTTCTAGTTGAGGCTTAGTATTTCACATTGTTTTTGTGTGTCTTGCTCATTAACCATTGAACTCAGCAACTACTGAATGATACTGGTATCTATTTGCACCTCAAAACTTAACATTTGTATGAATCACCTGGATGTCTCAGTACAGATTGTATAGTACTGAATTTCTAAGGAGCTTCTAGATGATGCCAACCACATTCAAGAACAACAAGGGCTTAGAGGGTAACCAAATATATGCCATGGTGTATAATTTTCTCATGTCCATCAGATGTATCTTACCTGCTTAGACTAAGCTGAATGTCTTAAAACTAAGAAAATTAACATTGGTACATTACTATTAACTGAAGTACTGTACAGATTTTATTCAGATCTCACCAGTTGTTCCAGTGATGTCTATTTTCTGTTCCAGGATCCAATCCAAGATACAACATTGAACTTAGTTGTCATGTCTCCTTGGTCTTTTCTCTTCAGGGATGGCTTCACATTCTTTGATTTTCATGCCCTTGACAGTTGTTGTTTTTTCCCCCATTAAGTTTATTCGTACATTTTAGGTATAAAATACAGTAACATTCATCATTGGGATCTTGTACCATTACATGAGCATCTTGATTCTTATTTTTTCCCCTTCCCCTGCCCACCCTTCCCTATTTGCAGAGACTTTGTTTCCACTTTTTTCCATTTCTCATATTTTTTCTTTTCCCTTCTTTCCTTTCCCCTACCCCTCCCACTTCTCCTGATCCTTTAGACCTTTTCTTCCTATTACACAATATCAGTTATACATTTTACAATATCAAGATCTAGGAGACATTACCACAGATTTTTACAGAATTTAAAAGGAT